GATTTTGGTAGGGCTTATATTTTCAAATCGAGACCCCAAATTTCACGATAATCTGATTTCACGATAATCCGTAACAATTATTTAATAAATGGATGCCGCCAAAGGAAAATCAGAATCCTTGATTTTCGGATGTTATTTCACAAGACACGGGCTTACCGGACTTTGAAAAATCTAATGATATCGATTCAAGCATCGATATTAATATGAAGAAATAATGTAACAATATATTATTCTTCGGAGCTAATAAGCCATATTCTATTAAGTGTTAAATCCGAAATTCAAGAATTACTGGTTTTCATAAATAATCACATTGACAATATAAAATAAAATTAATTAATCTTACTCCGTCAAAACCTTGAGTATTAACAATACTAACTAAATCATTAACAAATTTCGAATTTTGAGCGCTATTCGGATTGTATGTCCAATTATTAAGATTAAAGAAACCAGTTAAATCATTCCAATCAGTCGGTAGCATGACTGATAGAATTATCTATAACGTAGCAATTTATCATTACTATTAACGTTATTAAGTCTTTTTAATGTATATTTGATATTTATTACTTACCTTAAATGTTAGATTATTTCTTGATTTATAATTTTTCAATTGACTAAGCTTGGAAGATTGTCTGTTAAAAACTGCAATTGGGTCGCCATTTCTGGTATTATTAACAAGATCATTTGGGCCAAATGCTATATAAATAATAGCTTATTAAACTTAATTGTAATTAAATAGAATTAAAGCTTTAATTTCGCATACCAATAAAGTTTAAGTAATCAATTGATGGGCTGATATCAAAATCTACTCCTGGTGTTAAATTAAGTTTATAAGCTGGATAATATCCAATAAGTTTATTTGGTTTGATTGGCGATAGATGACATGAATCCTGACTTAACACCTTTTTTCTCGACACAAATATAAAAAAGGTATATAAAAAAAGCAACATGAACTTATAGAAGGATGAAAATGATCGAATTTTCATGGTTATTATAATGCCATAAAAATTTTTAAGAACAGAGTTAACATGAATAAAACATGAATATATGGGATAAAATGTGCAGAAAAAAAAATTTTAGCATCTAGATAGTGTTTTTTTTTTAAAAAAAAAAAGCTACAAATGAATATGTACAGTATTAGGATTGTCCCATATAAATATTTGATTTTTGTCATTATCGAAGTGTCACAAAAAAGCCAGATGGAAGGAAATACGAAGTTAAATTGATGCACAAGGGTGAAATGAAGATGATACTTCATAGTTCCTTAGTAATGTCAAAAGAAATCAGAGTTAAAATAGATGTATCAACAATATGTTTGCTTTGGTTTTTACCTTAATAAAAACTATCGCCATGCAAACTACACTCTTATATTGTCTACTTTTATAATTTTATATAAAAAATTTCAAAATAACAATTTCTTTGAAAGTGAAAATATTTTTCAGAGTATACGTTAGCGCTAATTTTGATTATTGGACCTTTTTTTGATCACTAAAACGTATAAAATCTGATCAAAGATCCCCTAAA